TACATGGGGGCGGTGCTGGAGTACCTGACGGCCGAGATCCTGGAGCTGGCGGGCAACGCGGCCCGAGACAACAAGAAGACGCGCATCATCCCCCGCCACCTGCAGCTGGCCATCCGCAACGACGAGGAGCTGAACAAGCTGCTGGGCAAAGTCACCATCGCCCAGGGCGGCGTCCTGCCTAACATCCAGGCCGTACTGTTACCAAAGAAAACAGAAAGCCACAAAGCTAAAAGCAAATAAACCCTGACAAACTAAACCAAAGACCAAAGGCTCTTTTTAGAGCCACCCAAGTTTTCAAAAAAAGAGCTAATGCGCTATATTGTGATCAGCCCTTCATTTGACACTTTGGTGGCTCTTAAAAGAGCCTTTGGGGTGAGTGGGGGATGACTCTTAATTACTTGTTCTTGCCAGGCTTGTGACTCTCCGTTTTCTTGGGCAGCAACACAGCCTGGATATTGGGCAAGACTCCGCCCTGAGCAATGGTGACACCCCCGAGTAACTTGTTGAGCTCTTCGTCATTTCTCACGGCTAGTTGCAAATGGCGAGGGATGATGCGCGTCTTCTTGTTGTCTCGGGCCGCGTTGCCCGCCAGCTCCAGGATCTCGGCCGTCAGGTACTCCAGCACCGCCGCCAGGTACACCGGCGCGCCGGCCCCCACTCGCTCGGCGTAGTTGCCCTTGCGCAGCAGGCGGTGCACTCGCCCCACCGGGAACTGCAGGCCGGCGCGGGAAGAGCGCGACTTGGCCTTGGCGCGGGCCTTGCCTCCTTGCTTGCCGCGTCCCGACATTATGGCAAATAATGCAGTTACAGCTTCTTTTTCAAGGAGAGGGATGTGGAAAGGATAGCCAATTTGATGTAATTTATAAGAGCTACCGGGAGGGGTAAAAGTGAAGTAGTTTGATTGGCTAAAAACGGAGCTGGCTCAAACAGCCAATAGGAAAGCAGAAAGCAGGCTCTTGGTTTGCATCCTGCACTGCAAGGAAATGACGGAATTTTAAGTATCTACCAATCGCTGAGAGCCACATTAAAGCCCCTTATTTGCATGCGAGGAATTTTAAAGTGAGAAGGCTTTTAAACAAAACGCTCTTTCCTACTGAGTGGCATTCTGTAGTTTTGTTTTGTTTCTAGCTTAGAGCAGCGAAGTTCTAAGAAGGAACCTAAAGGACTGCAGAGGGCCTCAAGTAGATGAAGAGCTACTGCCTCTTAAGGGTATGCGATTTTGAAGCTGATTAATCCCTTGAGCCCCGTATTACCCTCTAAATCCCACACTCTGTCTCGTTACAGCCAAAGTCCTTTAAAGAATGTACTAAGGTTGCCTCCTATTGATGAGGTGTGGCCTCGCCCCACCCCCGCCTGTCTGGCGCTACTGGGAATGAGGTTTGGCCCCGGACTAAAATAGATTTGTCATCCTCCTCTTGACCTCCAGGAGGCGTCCGACACCTTGAAACTTGCTTCCTTGGCTTCCAAAATGTCGCCTTCCGTTTTTCTTCCCTCCCCCACCTTTCCTTTATCCTCCCATTGCTCTGCAAATTCCTAAATCCGCGAGTCCGTCTAGACTCTGTCTCCTCTTATCCTCAATTCCTCACTGTCCGCCAGGAGTCTTACCCATTTCCATGCTCCCATCTAACATCCATATTTGTTTCAAAAGCTCGGATCCTTAGACCTAACTGCTTACAGGATACTTCAACTCGTTTGCCCCGATAAATATCTCAAACCCAGCTTTAACTACCGTTAGCACACAACACACCGCCACCCTCCCCTCTGCCTTCTTCCCCTGAATTGCACCAACAAACTATCGAGTATTACCGTATTCAAGCCCGAATCTATGGTCCTCTTCCCTTACCTCAACAGCATATCCGGTCTTTCCATTCTTCTCTCTTCAGCCTTTTTCTCCTGCTCCCCTTTGCCTCCCTCAGCTCTTCCCCAGAGTTCAGCAACAGCCCCAGACGCTGTCTATAGACTCTGATCACTTCCACTATCCTTCACTTGCCTGTCTTAAAAATCTTTTCTGAGGGACCAGTAGATGGCGTAATAGTTACGTTGCTGGACTCCCGTATAGTTAGCCAGTGTTCGAGTCCTGGACCGGATAGTTTAAAACACATCAGGGGGACCAGCAGTTAGCATAATGGCTATGTTGCTGGACTCCCATGTAGTTGACCGCGGTTTGAGTCCCGGACCCGGTGGCTTAAAACTCACGCTGGGCCCATGTGCATGCGTGCCCAAGATCCCGAGAGGAGAATGGAGGAGAAGGGATTGCGGCGTGGCCATCCCCCCTGGGGGGTGATTTCTCGTCTTCTCTCTCTCTTTCTCTCTTTCTGTCTGGCAAGCGCATGTGCCCTATAGCACAAAACTCTAAATAAATAAATAAATAAATTGGGAACCAGCAGTTAGCGTAATGGCTATGTCGCTGGACTCCCACGTAGTCGACCGCGGTTCGCGTCCCGGACCCGGTGGCTTAAAACTCACGCTGGGCCCATGTGCATGCGTGCCCAAGATCCCGAGAGGAGAATGGAGAAGGGATTGCGGCGTGACCATCCCCTCTGGGGGGTGATTTCTCGCTTTCTGTCTCTATGTCTCTGTCTGTCTGGCGAGCGCACGTGCCCTACAGTGAAAAACCTCTAAAAAAAAAATTTTTTTTTTAAATAATAATAAAATTAAATAAATAAATAAACACATCAGGTACATGTGCATGCGTGCCCAAAAATCCCAAGAGGAGAATGCAGCATGACCATCCCACCTGGGGGATGATTTCTTGCTTTCTGTCTCTCTGTCTCTCTCCAGTGAGCACATATACCGTATAGCAAAAACTAAAAAAAATTTTTTTTTTTTCAGAAAGCTCTTTCTGTTTCTTTTCGCTAACTTCCCATCCCTAGGAGTTCTGCATTCTCTATATCACTTTCACCCTTTCCTCAGTCTCCCCATAAGGACAAAAAGTAGAATGGCACAGATTAAAAATAGGCTTCAACTCTATTTCATCCTTCTTCTGATGTTCTCTCTTTTATTCTCACCTTTACTCAACCAGCATTTATTGAGTGCATGTTATTGAGCAATGGGTGTACAAATAATTGAGTCTAGTACAGAAAAGTCTAGAATGAAATGCCCCCAGAAAATGGAGGAAATCTGCTGACTTGAGAGCTAAATTGTTTACTGTTGGCTACAGGAGATTACCCTTTGTACAAAGGCTGGTATAGAATCCAGTCAAGGGGAGTCAGTGTTTCCTCAATAGAATGTAACCAAAGATAGTTCTAACCCAGGTGACTATGTCATTTGAGAAGAGGAATGTGTTAGCAGAACAGCATGGACTAGACAGCCATTGTAGCAGGAATATGTGGTGTCGGCCCAACACTGTATCTTCTGATAGACGTTTAGGCTACTAGAGAAGGTTGCATAAGCCTCACCTTTTCTCACGGCCTAGGTAAAGTATTTCTTTTTCTTTTTCTTTTTTTTTTATATTTTGAGAGGTTTTTGTTATGGGGTGTGTGCGCTCGCCAGAAAAACAGAGACAGAGAGATAAAAAGCGAGAAATCACCCCCCAGGGGGGATGGTCACGCCACAATCCCTTCTCTTCCATTCTCTTCTCAGGATCTTGGGCACACACACATACGTGCCCGGCGTGAGTTTAAGCCACCCAGTGCGGGACGCGAACCGCAGTCGACTACATGGGAGTCCAGCGACATAGCCATTACGCTAACTGCTGATCCCAGTAAGAGAGAAGGGAAGTAAGAAAGCAGATTGCCAGGCCCAGGACCTGAACCATAGTCAGCCAGGTAGGAGTCCAGTCCCCTAACTACCATGCCACCTGCTGGCCTAGGTAAAGTATTTCTAAAGACTACCCAACTCTCTTTGCTCAGATTCTGTGCTCAAGTAACAGCTTCTTGATTATTCTATTTCCAGATAAAACTATGAGACTGAAAAGAAAAGAGCCAAATTTTTGTTGTTTGGTTGGGTTTTTTTTTTGAGAGGTTTTCGCTATAGGGCGCATGCGCTCGCCAGACAGACAGAGAGAGACATAGAGACAGAAAGCGAGAAATCACCCCCCAGGGGGGATGGCCACGCCACAATCCCTTCTCCTCCATTCTCCTCTCTGGATCTTGGGCACGCACGCACATGCGCCCAGCATGAATTCTAAGCCACCGGGTCCGGGACGCGAACCACAGTTGACTACATGGGAATCTAGCGACATAGCCGTTACACTAACTGCTGGTTCCCAGAAGAGCCAGTTTTGAGACTCTAAGTCCATTACTAGACATTGAGTTGGCATTCTAGACTAAACGTAAGTTTCTTGTGTATTTTGTTAGCATGGGCTCCTCCCCCAGAAACCAATCCATTCCATAAATTCTATTTTATTCATTCATTCATCCATTCATTCATTTCTTTTTAGAGAGGATTTTGCTATAGGGTGCGTGCACTCACCAGAAAGACAGAGAGACAGAAAGCGAGAAATCATGCCCCAGGGGGGATGGCCACGCCGCAATCCCTTCTCCTCCATTCTCCTCTCAGGATCTTGGGCACGCACGCCCACGCACCTGGCGTTAGTTTAAGCCAGCGGGTCTGGAACTCGAACCGCAGTCAACTACATGGGAGTCCAGCAACATAGCCATTATGCCAACTGCTGGTCCCCCAGAAATTCTAATAATGTCAACTTTTCAGACTTACAGAGTTGGAGAACGAAACTCATATACTAGGGGCCCGTCCACAACCTTGGCATCCTGCAAGGCACTGCCTGAGGGGCCGGCTGACCTATTCTCTTGACCACTGACTTTTTTTTGAACTTCTGTCATACTGTTCTGTGCTATGAGGAATAATGAAGGGAAAAAAGGTGGCGAATGTTCCCTATGTGAGCCCCGTGCTAGTGGTTACCTACAAAGTAGATATTTAGTGCAATTTTCTATTTCACAGATTAAAAAAACGAGGCTTGGGAGAATTAAAGCACTTACCAAAGGTTATGAAGCCACTTACCAAGACAGGATTAGAATCTAGTGCTGCTTGACTCAAATAACATGCCTGTCACACTTCATTCTCAATCTACATGTTACACTTAATGAAGTCACTTACCCAGCCTTGCTTTCTTCCTTTGTAAAGAGTGAGAGGGAATTAGAATTGATACTTTAGATTCCATAGAAAGCCTTATTAAATAGGTCTAGATAGGCCAATATCCTGTGACTTACACCAGACGCAATTACTGTCTCCCTAGAGCTCCCTTCTGAACATTCTTCCCAGAGTATTATATTAATAAAATAAAACAGAGCAGGCCCTTTGTAAAAGTATACACCAGCACAGGCAAGCAGGCTGGATCTTATTTCCTAACAAGCTCTGGAATTATTTCATTTATTTATTTATTTTTGTAGAGGTTTTTGCCTTAGGGGTGCATGCGCTCACAGAGAGAGCACGACAGAGACATTAAGAGGGAAAGTGAGAAGTGAGGTGGTCATGCTGCAATCCTGCCTCCTCCATTCTCCTCCTGGGATCTTGGGTACACGCTCCTGGCATGAGTTTCAGGCCACTGGGTCTGGGACTCGAACCACAGTCAGCCATGCGGGAGTCCAGCAATGTAACTGCTACACCATCTGCTGGCCCCTAACCTCTGGGATTTTTAAACAAAGACATCTACATTCTTTCCTAGGCAGTTTAGTTCATCAAATATTCATTTTGCCTTCTGACTCCATTCCACTATTCCAACCACAGTCTTGTTCCTTCCCTTTTCCTGCTGCCTCTCCCCACCAACTCCCCTCCTCATACTCGACCACACCCCATTCGTGAGATGAGCAAGATTTTTCACAACTCCCTGCCGTCGCACATACAGCTGCCTC